AGCCTTCCACGTTAAATTATATGAAATAATCATGCCAAGAAGCTTAAGAGACGAAACTCTTTCTATATCAACGTTGTTTATTGAAAGAGTGAGTGAAGGAAGCATTTTAGTAGAGTTTGAAAATAAATAGCGTTTTTAATAATAAGCGTTTTTGTTCAGAAGCGTTTAAACGGGTTTTCTTCTCAAATAGTCAAGAAAACGGAAGAGAACGCCTATATTATTTCTTCGTTTCTAATCGTCTTTGACAAAATCACGTTTTTTCCAGTTCTTTCTCTAAAAAAAACGCGTTTTTCACCGTTTTTTAAAAAAAAATAAAAATTTCGCATTTTGTTGAGACTGCTCTCGTAGAAAATGTGGCAATGGGTAGCAGTTTTTGATTACAGACAGCATTGGAAGAAAACAATGAAGACATAAGAAATCAACTGAAGGCAGATGGAGGAAACAAATACAAAAAATAAATAACTTTTGTTTTACCTTTCGAATAACAACAAGTACAGGCACTATAACCACTGAAATTAATTGTGTTGCAAAATAATGCTTTAGCTGGTAAGTCAGTTATAAAAAACTGTAATGATAATACAAATGTAAATTCGTATTGATCTGTACATAAATGAGACTCATTTGACATTAATTAATTGTTTCATCCAAAAATACACTAGCACATGGTTTTGTTTTTGATGCCCACAAAGCATAAACAAGAATATTTCTCTGATATTCTCGTATTGGTGGTGGCAATTCCATAATTGTGGCAAAGCATGGCCATAATGATCGTTTCGATGTTCTTATTAATGGTGCACCATCACAATTTAATGCCACTGTATTTATTTTTTGGGCTTTTTCTTGATAATATTGCCCATAACAAACATCAGCAGAAGGAAACAATATACCGCAATTTAATATATTTTGATTACCACAAATAATTGTTTCTAGTTGCGATTTTATATCTAGGTTAATAACTTCTGTTATTTGATAACTTTTTAGTGTTTTTTGATTGAATACACAATCTTGGTTAATACATTTTTTCTGCCCATATCGTTTTCTCAAATATAAATGATTACACAACGAACACACAAATTTTGTCATTGATAAACATTCTTTATCATATAATTTCAATATTTTATTCAACGTTACGGGTAATTTATTTGGTTGTGGTAACAGAGCTTTAATTAATTTAAATAATCTTATGACGTTGGTTTTATCTAAATTTGCGTTAGAATAAAAATCAGCCAGTAATTTCATCGTCGTTTTAATCTTGATGCTACTATTTTGATATAAAGGATCAGAATGATCGGGAGTGTCTTTTTGGGATTCTTCTTCATCCTCATCATGATATTCGTCGACCAAAAAAAGATTTTCAACGTCACTTAATTCTGGATGAACGTCAGCCAAATTTGATCGTTCGTGTTCTTGTAATATTACTTCGTCTATCTTTTTGTCTTCATCATCTGTTGTGGTTAATAGTGATTGTATATATTGTTTCCTTTCATGTCGACGTTGACGTTTATTTTGAATCCTTTGTGAGACCTTTTGTTGGTATAATTGTTGATGCATCTCGAAAAACAAGATCAAACATTCATCTGAAGTAAACAGTTTCTATTGATTTTAATCAAACATCCAGTCAAAAAAACAGCTGTCATATCATTATCATTTGCGTCGTTGCAGTGCATAATCAAAAAATAAGAACAAAGGAAAATAAAAATGTAAAGCGTTTGTATATGGCAAATCATGTTATTTAATATGTTATTGTTAGAGAAAATTCAATTTGAATTCGGCCTGATTTTGTCAGTTGTTTAAGCTTATTTACATTTACATTCAGATATTTTTTGACTCAAAAACAGGAGAAACTTTATCATCTAAGCCTCATATATCAGCAGAGTATAGATTTATATGAAAGTAGTAGTTGAACACAGGTAATGTAAGACACCGACAAAAGTCTTCTTCAAACATAAGGTTCATATATATGTACGGGAAATACTTTAGTCTTCATTCTAATTTTATTAGCAATACTTATATAATATGATTTATATATAAGTGTTTTGGAGAAAGTGTAGAATGAATTACAAGTTGAACTACAAACACAGCAGTTTATTCATTCAGTTATTATGCACCAAAAAAAAACAATAGAGTTAGTCGTTTTCTAAATAACCCAAGAACATGGATAAGAATGATCGGGAGTGTCATCATGATATTTGCCGACCAAAAAAAATTTTCAACGCCACTTAATTGAACTGAAGAATTTTGGGATTCACGATTTTGAGGATATTTTTCGGAAGCAACTTTAGCGAAAAAGGCAAATATCATAGCAATTCTTAACCTTTTTCCAAGGTAGGGGGCAGACTTTTTGAATCCCTCTCGGCATTTCGTCTGACGGCTAGCTTTTAACCATTGCTGAAGTTACCCATTACTGGCAACTATTAATGGCAAAAACCTTCTGGCAGCGCCAATCTCCTCTATACTACATTCAAAATGATATCATTAACTAACAGTTTTTGTTCGAACTCTACTGGATGAATAATTGCACGAATCATAAATCAGCAAACAATGCTCTGCAACGAATGCAGTTTTTTAAATGATGAAAAGAAAGTTTGGTTGCACTAGGATTCTCCAAGTTTCATTCTCTTAATTAAACTGTTTTTGGTTGCAAAATCTTTGAACAATAGTTTCTAAGTGAATCGTTTTCGTTATCTCACGCAATTTTATGCCGTAATCAACAAAATTATCGTAAAACACTGTAATGACGGCGTAATTATTGGATAAATCATAAGGACGGCGTAACATTAAAAAAGGACATGGGTACCTTCTTCTTCACAAAATCGGCAGCCATATGCTGCATTTGGTTCCGGTAAATTCTGAACTAGCGATATTGCCGGTTTATCGCACGACGCCAAAATTAAAAAGACTTTTAATCGAGTCATGTCGGTGGTTGTTCTTGCGTTATCATCATTACCATGCTTTAATGTATATGTAATGTTTTGTTCTAATTATTCTACTATCCATTTCCAAAAAGAAGAAGCACGGCCATTTCTTTGATAACTTTTTCTAAGAAGCAGCTAAAAAGGTGCGGTTTTCAGTATCGGAAAGCGAAATGTTGGGGTAATATGAAAAACTGAAAATTTTTGTCCCAAAACT